ATCAGAGACCGCATGGTAAGTTACAGCCATTGGAGGTTCCCGAATGGAAGTGGAAACAGATCACCATGGATTTCATCACCAAATTGCCAAGGACTGCTCGAGGAGTTGATGCAATTTGGGTGATTGTGGACAGGTTGACGAAGAGCGCTCACTTCCTTGCCATCAGTGAGAGTTCTTCCACAGAGAAGTTAGCAGAGATATATGTGAGGGAAGTGGTATCTCGGTATGGGGTGCCGATCTCGATTGTCTCCGATCGGGATGTGCGTTTCACTTCCAGGTTCTGGGAGAATTTCCATGAGGAGTTGGGTACTAAGCTGCATTTTAATACCGCATATCACCCCCAGACCGACGGACAGAGTGAGCGGACGATTCAGACCCTCGACGACATGCTCCGAGCATGTGTATTGGATTTCGGGGGAAGTTGGGATACGTATTTGCCATTGGCCGAGTATTCTTACAACAACAGCCATCATTCGAGCATTGGTATGCCACCCTTTGAGCTGTTGTACGGGAGGAAGAGTTGGGGCAGATTCACGACACTTTCCAGGTGTCGCAATTGCGGAAGTGTATAGCCGATGAGTCGGTAGTGGTTCCATTAGATGATATTCAGGTGGATGCGAGCCTGAATTATGCTGAGAGACCAGTGGCCATCAAAGATCAGAAAACCAAAGTTCTGAGGAACAAGGAGGTACCTTTGGTCTTGGTTCAGTGGAAGCATCGGAAGGGGTCCGAGATGACGTGGGAACCGGAGCGTGAGATGCGAGAGCAGCATCCGGAGTTATTTGAGAGTGAGACTTCGAGGGCGAAGTCTAGTTCTAGTGGGGGAGAATTGTAACATCTCGGAATTTCCAGGTATTTATTATTGCGTTATTTTTGGAAATTGTGAGTGGACTCGGCGAGTTGGAGCCCAAACTCGCCGAGTAGGATCGCGGTATTGGGCACGGTTCGCGTCTGCACTCCGCGAGTCCAAGAGTGGACTCGACGAGTCCACGATGTGTGCTGAAACCCTAATTTCCGGGGTTTGAGACCTATTTAAAGGGCCTTATGGTCGTCATTTGTGCTCACCCAAACCTTAGAGAGAAACCCTTGACTGCTTGAACGTTTTGAGAGAGAAAGGAAGCATTCTTGACCTTGTGTGTGTCTTTTAGCAAAGAAGGAGGAGATACTAGGCAAGAAGAAGCAAATAAGGTTGCTATACTGTGGATTTGAGGCTTAGATCATCAATCTAGAGGTATGATTTCGGCTCATCTTCTGTTTTGTGAAGTATAATGGGATTTAGGGTTTCTTATGGACATTATTGGGTTGATTTGATGCCAAATATTCCCCTTCTTGTGTTGAGGCTTTGGATCTGGATCCATAGAGGTCTAGAGAGCCTCACTCATCAAGCTTTATGTATAGCAATGGAGTTTATGACCTTGAGTTGTAGTATATGGGTCAAAAGCATCATATATGGTCATATAGATATTGTATGTGCATCAAGATAGTGACTTTACGTGATAAATAAGCTTGGAAGGACTAGATCTATGGGTTAATGGACTGGATCTGACCTTATGAGCAAGTTTGAGTCATTGCATGGCACGGACTCGCCGAGTCCGAAGAACAGACTCGACGAATAGTATGAATATTTCCCGACCACACAGCGTGTGGTCTTGCCGAGTTGGGGAGGGTTGACTCAGTGAGTCAGGGGGAGTCAGAGTGGTCAGGTGGACTGAATCAAGCTGGACTCGCCGAGTTGTTCTTGAGACTCGGCGAGTTGAGTCGTGGTGGCCCCACAACTCATGCCAAGTGGAACTCGTCGAGTTAGGTGAATACTCGACGTGTCAAGGGAGGATTCTAGGGAAATCAGTATATACGCTCAGACTCGCAGAGTCGCTATAGTGCACTCGCCGAGTCCGGTCAAAGTTGACCGTTGACCGTTGACCAGCGTTGACCTAAGTTGACTTGTTAAAGAGTAGTCAACCCTAGTTGGGAAAGTGTTAATTAGAGATGTATTGTGATTTTGGAGGACTATAGCTCGGGAGATCGAGCACTAGTGATTTCAGGATTCACGACTTACCGAGACACGTGAGGTGAGTCTTCTCACTATACTTTACCTTGAGTAGGTAACCAGAGTTATGTGATAGAGTATTTGTATGCTATGTATGTTATGTGTTGTACTGCATTACTTCTATGTGATTTATGTTGTGCATGTTTACAGAGTTAGAACCGTAAGGTTCACAGAGTTAGAACCTAAGGGTTCACAGAGTTAGGTGCACAGACCCATAGAGTTATAGCCTCGAGTGGCTAATATGTGTTATATGTGGTATTTTAGGGAAGTCACTAAGCTTTGTGCTTACAGTGTTTGATGTTATTATTTGCAGGTACTAGTGACAATTGCGGGAAGGCGCCAGCTTGATCAGTACACACGCATGGGAGTTATGATTTTGAGATCTTGGGATTTTGTATTTACTTGAATTGGATAATTAAATATGGTTGTCTTCTGAATATTAAATGAATTATGTTTTATAAAAATTTGAAAATTTTGTTTTGAAATTCACGGTGTTACAGGGTCAACACTGGAGCTTCACATAACTTTTTTCTTAATGTCTCAAATGCTAATTGTTATTTAGGACCCCCAAAAAAACCGCACCCTTCTTTGTTAAATGGGTAATTAGTACCGCAATCTAGGAGAAGCCTTGAATAAATCATCTATAATATCTAGCAAATCCTAAAAAACTTTAAATATTAGAGGGAGTGGTCGGAACCTACCACTGCATTATTTCCTTAATCTTGGTTGAGTCGACCAAAATGCAATCCTAGTTGACAGGATACCCAAGGAACTAGACCTCTCGTAACCATAATCCTCACTTGGAGAACTTTTGCATAAAGCTTATGCCTTCTTAGAAATTTGAGTATCTCATATAGATTCTCCTCATGCTTCTCTTGCATCTTCGAAAGAGCCGAGATATTTTCGATGGAAACGATTATTGACCGATCGAGCATGGGCGTGCAAACACGATACATCAAATCCATGAAGGGAGAGGGAGCATTTATGAGCCTGAAATACATGACTACAAACTCATAGTGATGTTACCGAGTTTCTAAGCCTGTCTTTGTTATATCCTCATCCCTTACTCGCATCTGGTGGTATCCTGAATGTAGATCTGCTCCCTAAAGTTGATCAAAAAAAGTTGTAAATCCTTGGTAGTGGATAACGATTCTTTACTATGAGCTTGTTAAGTTCCCTGTTGTCACACCCCAACTGAGGTGGCGGGACATGTCAGGCTGTACATATTAGTTCATGGATCACAAGAAATTGAATATATAACACAAGTACATATAACAAAACAATATTTGTATTTCATCATGAAGTTTGAATATAAGGTTCTTACGGATAATAATACAGTACATGAGTTCCCTTAAATAGGCAGGCATATATAACAAAAACTAGAAAACTAGGTCGCCTGAAATCCATGAATATTCCTTCGTCTGAAAAATTGATTAATGAACTCCTAAGAATACATGTAATTTTGAGGGTCAACACAAGGTTGGTGAGAGTTACATGTTTTCTGCTAGTGCAGTAATGATATTTTTATAATGATCACAAAGTATTTTCTTTCTAAGTAAAACCACACTTAAAAATGAGTTTATAAAGAGCCATTAAAGAATTATGAAAGCCAAAAGGTGTTTTTCCATAAGTAAACCATGCTTGTAACTAGTTTCTAAAGAGAGAAACCGAATAGTAGTTTCTATAGAGAGCGATAGAGATTTAGTTAATGTTTATAGTGAGTTCTATTACCGAGCTATATAACTGTGGTACCCCCTACAATGCTTCATTTTACATTGTTGTAATAACCGTAGTTAGTAATCACCCGATACGATTGATAGGTCAAGGTTGTATCTAGCAAACGCAGGTAGGGATGTCAACCCCGTTGAGATATATACATGTGTATCTTGCTCTGAGGATTAACAGTTATAGTAGTGTTCATATGTTAAGTGTTTATACTTAGGTAATGAACAACATCTCAGTATAAAGCTCTTAACTAATGTATTTATATAACCCGAGTTATTTTGTATGTAGATGAGCACTCAAGTGTAAGGATCGATATTGAAAAGCCCTAACTTATACGAGAATAAGTCACTAGGCGAAACAATTTACGTTGCAATAAGTTTATAAAAGCCGAGTATGATCGATATGTAGATATGTAAAGGTAATGCTACCCACTTTTATAAAGAGGAAATTCTCGTTTGTAGTGTATACAAGTGTATGTAAAAGTCCAAGGTATAATATTTATAGCTTATATATATATATATATATATATATATATATATATATATATATATATATATATATAAAATTAAACTGAAGAGTGTTTGAATCAATCGATAATCAGAAAGCAATAAAGAACACAAGATCTAAATATGATTCGTTTAGCTTGGATTAAAATCTGAATGGGCATTTGTGTATCGCTCAATGTCTATCACTTGAAAGAGAAAGTTTGACAACTTGTTCATCTTATTATTCCCTTGAAAGACACCTCCGAAAGGTTGATGTATTATCTCCCCATCTTCAAACTCGTCAATGTTTAATCTACTTGTCAATATAGATTGGGGCACCTTTAAAGTCTTATTGATCGCCAAGTAAATCAATGTCTATGACAGCCAAATACTCATAATAACACACCAGAAAAGCTTTGATATATGCATATCCCAGAATGAATGCATTTTTATTCTCTTCGGCAACTTGCAAAGCTTCTATATTGCAGAGAATCTTCGACACCGTGATCAAATCATTAAAGTTCATCAGAGGAAAATATGTGATGGTGAAATAACATGCCACATTATTCGCTCTAACTACCAAGTATCAAAAATTTTGTAGTAAGCCTTCGAATATAACATTTGACACTATCAACACAACATTGACTATCTTCATTGATGACCATACTTCTTTTTCACCTGTACCTAAGGCCACATGAAATCGAATCTTCAACCTCTTGTATTCATTTTTATCCTTGAAATTCTCAGATAAATTGAACTGTGTGAATGTAAATAAAAGATGGTTGATTGAAATTCGATTTCTCAATGTCATAGCTCTTCTTCGACTTCTTTGTAAACTCATTTGGCTTAGCAATGACTTCTATCTCTATCGTTTCATAGCACCATTTTTTGTTCCGGTCACTTTTGTTCATGCCAGGAGGATCATTCATCCTCTTATTTAAGATGTTTATCTGCCTTTGTTTCTCCATTTCTATGGCTTGCAATCTTTTCTTTTCTTCCTCTGTCTGAATAATTTGAACACTTTTTCCTTTTCTTTTTTGGATCAACATTAGAAAATGATTTAACCAAATAAGAACTTGAATTTCCACCTCCTTCGTTATTCGAAATGCCTTTCTTCTGAACATTCGAAAAATCAACATTTGTTGTTGTAATTGTTGTTGTTGACATTGTGATCACTGGCTTCATTACAACAGTTATTGGAATTTACGTTGACATGACTTTCCCAACTACAACTCTTTGTCTTCAACTGGTCCTTTTGAAGTACCAACACCTTTACCCCCCCCCCCCCCCCCCCCTTGCGAGACTTGGCTAGGATGAGTATTGGTTGGTAGTCGAAGTACCAAATTAAGAATAGGAGCTAATTCTACCTTGATACTTGCTTCAATGTTTGAAACCATAGTAGAAATGGATTCATGAGAAATAGAAGATTGAGCCGAAAGTTCAAATTTTAACATTTTCTCTTTGAAGTAAGAAAGAAGTTGTTCGATCTTCTTGAATACTTTTTCATGGAGTTTAGTAATCTCATATGCAAAGTTTCCAGACCGAACTGCCACATGGAGTTAAGTAATCTCGTATGCAAAATTTCTAGACTGAACTGCCATTCTGTCTTCATACATCTTATCCAAATTGTCAATCATAGTATTCAATCATGACTCTTGAGATTTCAACAAGTACTCTACTTCAATTCCCACTCATAGAGTGTTTTCCACTTTTGTCAGCCAAAAACTGAAGAAGTGACTTAAGTTTACCATTTAGGATTTTGAATTGTTTACTTGACATAGTTGCTTCATCAAGTACATCATCCTATTTAGGATTGAATTGTAAGTCAGCAAACGATACCATCGTATCTTCATCTTCAGCCTCTTCATCATGAATAGACTTCTAATGTTCTATGGATCGAGATGAAAACAATGCAACAATGGGTTGTTGTAGAACACCAGAAAATTTTTGTGACAACAAAGTAGATGTAGGAAGAACAATGGTTGAAGTATAGGGTGGTGATGACAATGGTGGTTGTAAAGTAGGCGAAGTAACAACATGGAATTCGATTGTTGTTGTATAATTTATGGATGTGTCTACATGTGATATCCCTTCACCCATAATAACATTTGTTTCCATATTAGATAATTTCACAAGGATGTTTGAATTTTCGACCACCTCGTAATGGACTTGGTATTTTAAACTTCGAATGGTATAAACAATATCTTCTTAGGGATAATGGGATTTGTATGTTCATCCAAACTAATGTTTACATCCATATTAGATACGTTTGTAATGACATTGGGATGACTTATTTCGTAATGGACTTCGTAATGACATTAGATACCTCGTAATGGACTTGGTATTTTAAACTTCGAATGGTATAAACAATATCTTCTTAGGGATAATGGGATTTGTATGTTCACCCAAACTAACGTTTACATCCATATTAGATACGTTTGTAATGACATTGGGATGACTTATTTCCTCAAAAATAGATTTGACATGGGCCTCCTTTCTTGGTGATACATGAATCGAACCTCATGTACCTTCAGCCTCAGTATCTGATTCAACAACATTAGGATTTATCGTCTTCATTTTTTGCATCAATTCAAAAGAGCTTCATTTTCTTGATGCATGAGAAGTAGGAGAAGAGAATACTAAAAGGAAAACTCCCTTCCTTGTAAATTGTAGTGTCTTGATCGTCTTCGAAACACCCTTTTTAACCATAGGTTCACCCTTAGGAGTCTCTTTTGTGATAGTTTCAGCCTATGTCACAACATTTTCTACATGATTTTCAGTATGTTTCGGATGTTCCACTTCAGATGGTTTCTAAACCACAAAGTTTTCTACATGCTTCTTTGTTTATTTCAGAACCCTTTTTCTTGTTTTTGTAGGCACATTTTCTTGAACAAATTCTTCTACCACTTCATGTGGCTTCTCAACTAGTTTCTTTTTCTTCTGACCATTGCAAACTTTTGGATTAACCTTCAGCACCCTTATTCGAAACCTTTGGTGGTAAACTTCCAGTTGTAGTAGAACCAATGTTAACAAGATAATGAACAAAAAACTCATGAGAAGGAGTCACTAGATTAAACATGGAATCTAGAATTCGAGCAATCATAGGAAATATCTTTAAATCATTCACCAACACCTTAGGAATAGTCATCGAAGAATACTCAGTCATAACATGATCAATAGGGAAAAGAATACCCTCTTGAGTGTAGACTTTGCGTAGAATCAATCCCTAAAACAAAGAACTTGAAACTCCATTTGCTAGTTTGGAATAGGTGATTGAATTGCCAAACTCTTCCTAGAGTAACGAAGCATAATCAACATTGATTCCATAGTATATCCCAACCATAATATAATATACCTCAAGCTTCGCCTTGTCTAATAATGTGCTCCATCCAGTTAAGCATCGAAGAACAAACCAAATAGTAAATTCCAAAGACTTGGCAAACCAGACTTCTTAAAATGATTGATTATAGACAAAGTGGGTTGATGACCCATATCGTCAAACATGTGTATAACTTTGTCCATTGTGACTTCATAAAATGTACCAGACATCGATAATTGCATGATTTTGGCGAACTGCTTCTTCGTAAGCTTCTTCGTTTTACGGGACATCAATTGAAATGTCACAACCTTGGTTGTTTTGTTGAAGACCACAGTAGATGCTGCAAGTGATACTTATTGAATAGAGATAACAAAGGAAGATGATAGAGCATGATTAAGAACATTATTGTTGAAAATCAATGTGAACAATTGAAGTTCTTCCGGATAAGCATCTACATTAGGATTGAACAAAAAATTATTACTTTGAATCTTCATCATCGGTTGAGAAGTATCGTCATCATTTGTGTTAAATTGATCAAAAATGATTTGTTAATCTGCCATTGGAATTGACTGAGAGAGAATTTTAAGAGAACAATTGCTATGAGTTCTTTGAGAGAATTCAGGAATCGAAAAGTTGAAATTGAAGTCAATAATTTTCTTTTATAACTAGCGTGAATTTTGAATTTAAAATGTTCCCTAATTATGCATCACCATGTGTAACATCGGTTAATTAACCGTCACCACAGAAAACTACCATGTGGAAAAGTTAAAAATTAGATCTAGTTGGTAGAATTGACTTGCAATTAGTACATTTCATTAAGATCACTCAAAGAGAATGAAAATGAGATTTTGAACATCAAAAATGGTATAGTGAAACAAATGTCTCATTATAATCTTGAACAAATATGTTCACCATCAATTCATTGTGTTCAGGTTTGTTGGGTTTCACCTTCATCATGGAAAAATGATTTAGGAGCATTAACACATATTCAATACATACCTATATCTTATTTGGTTTTGACCAAAGTTGTCTTGGGAAGGTGTCATTGTGTGTGACCGTGATAGAAATTTTGGGTGAAAAAGATTGGCTAAAAAGACTTATTGTACCTCTGCGAAAATTTGGAATTAGCAGAAATCTCTTAGCTCATCATGAGAAGAGAAAGGTTGGTCGTCGACTAATGTGAATACAACCTAATTGGGAAGAAAATTTCATTCAAAAAATTTCATTTAGGCTTCGAACACAAGGAGTCTATGAGGCTTAATGACGACATGTGACAACATGCTTCTAGGGACACCTAACTAGGATATAAACTTCAAATCATACATGTACCCTTTGAATATTCTCATTTGGCGTGCGAAAATGCAGCACATTGTTAATGAGCTTCCATAAAATTATGAAAAAGGATTTTTGCGTTTTTCAATATTTCAAAAAAAAAAATCAAACATCACAAAAATATTTTTGGAATTTTTATTTTCTAAAGAAAAGACAAAAATAAGAATATCTTTTTTGATTTTGGAAATTGAATAATGAAAAATAAACATAATAAAATCTCTTTGGATTTTTGTATTTTATAACAACAATAAAAAAATAAGAAAAGGATATTACTTACCCCCAGTCGAATGATCTTTAAAGATATGTACATTCTGCCATAAAAGTAACTTCACACATGAAACATAACTGAGTGAATCAAATGAATATCGAATGTGAAGGTGTATGAATGCTGAATGGGAGCGGTAACCGCTGAAGAACCAAGTCGGCAAATAACAAAAGTTAGTAAGACATGTGAAAAGTAAAACCAACAATTGTAAGTCCAATTCATTCAGACACCATTCCTTCAAAAACTAATGTAGAATGTGGAACATAACAAGCTTCCATCATTCCCAATCCATTTAAAATTCTTGAAAATGATTTTTCGTCCAAAGGTTTTGTGAAAATATTTGTAAGCTGATCAGTTGTTTTTGCAAAATGGACTTAAATATTCCCATCTTCAACATGATCTTTGATAAAGTGGTAACGAAGAGCAATATGTTTGGAACTTTGAATGTTGAATTGGCTTATGAAATATACGAATTTCACTTTGAGAATCACTTATATAAAGGAATTTTCTTCATGTTAATTGCATAGTCATAAAGTTGACTTTGGACCCAAATGACTTGTGATGTACAAGCCGCCGCATCAAAGTATTCAGCCTCAACTGTTGAAATTGATACGCATCTCTGCTTTTTCAACTGCCAACTCACAAGTTTCCCATCAAGAATTTGACATCCTCTAGTTGTGCTCTTTCGATCCAGTTGACAACCCCCTAAATCCACATCAGAAAATGCTTGAATAAAAAATTCTATTTTCGACAGATACCACAATCCTAGAGTCTTTGTTACATAAAGATAATTAAAGAAGTTTTCACTGGAGTAAGATGAGGTTCTCTTGGATTCGCTTGATACCTGGCAGAATTACATATAGAAAACATTATATCAGGTCGACTTGTAGTTAAATACAAAAGAGAACCGATCATGCTTCGATATGTTTTGATATCAACAACAGGCTTATCGAACGAAGGACCTAGACGAGTGCCGACTGCCACTGGGACTTTAGTCTTTGTGCAATTCATCATCCCAAATGTTTCAAGCAAATTTTGAGTATAGTTCTCTTAATTTCAAAAAAATTCCTTCTCTACTTCGATGAATATTCAAACCCAATCCCATCATACTCATCTCGAATTGACTTTAATTCCTCAAAATCCTTTGAAAAAAAGTATCAGCTGAACCAAATATAATATCATCGACATAAATTTAAATGAGCATCAGATGATCCCTTACTTTCTTTCAAAACAATGTGGGATCAACTGATATGGTGAGAAATATTATTTCTTTTCACAGTTTGTACAAACAAGGTTTTACCTTTTCTTTTTAATAATTGGTGGTATTAATGCTTATTACAATGATGTATTTTATTTTGAAGCATTACCTTGCAATGGTGTATATGAAACTCTGAATGTTGTAGATAACCTAAGCAATAATGTGTTACACATTATTCTTTCAATAACTTGGATAAAGCATGCTTATGGCATTGCCGTCTTGGACATGTCAACATAAATTGCAAAGGCCAACTCCAAAAGGATGGAGTTTTGGAGTCATTCGACTTAAAGTCGGATGATACTTGTGAATCTTGTTTAATTGGAAAGATTACCAAGTCACCCTTCACTAGTGCTTATGAAAGGGGTGAAGGTCTGTTGGATCTCATACACACTGATGTGTGTGGACCATTTAGAACCACCATAAGGGATGCTAATCGCTTCTATGTGACTTTTACTGATGATTACATTAGCTATGGCTATATCTACTTAATCAAGCATAATTCAGAAACCTTTGAAAAGTTCAAAGAGTTTAAGCAAGAAGTGGAGAATGAATTGGGAAGGAAGATAAAGATGTTGTGATCCGATCGAGGAGGAGAGTATCTTAGTATCGAGTTCCTTGATTATCTTAAGGAATGTGGAATTGTTTCATGATTAACGCCACGTAAGACACCACAGCTTAATGGTGTGGCTGAGAGGCGCAATAGAACCTTGCTAGAGATGCTTCGTTCCATGATGAGTCGAGCTTCGTTACCTATCTGATTCTGGGGGTATGCCTTAGAGACTGTCGCCCATATCATTAATCTAGTCCCTACCAAAAAGATTTACAAAACACCTCATGAAATATGGAATCGGAAGGTTCCCACATTAGACCACATCAAGGTTTGGGGTTGCGTGGCTTTCGTAAGATGTGAGACTCACACAAGCTCGAACCTCGGAGTGAGAGATGCATTTTCATCGGCTACCTGTATAATTCCTTTGGATATCTCTTCTATAGGCTAAGTGACAATGTTGTCTTCGTCGCGAGGAGAGGAGTCTTTCGTGAGAGAGAACTCATATGCTAAGGAGACAGTAGGAGGAAAATTGACATTGAAGAGCTTCAAGAGTCAAACATACTTCAGAAACCTTTGAAAAGTTCAAAGAGTTTAAACAAGAAATGGAGAATCAATTGGGCAGGAAGATAAATATGTTGTGATCCGATCGAGGAGGAGAGTATATTAGTATTGAGTTCCTTGACTATCTTAAGGAATGTTGAATTGTTTCACAATTGATGCCATGTAGGACACCATAGCTTAATAGTGTGGCTGAGAGGTGCAATAGAACCTTGCTAGACATGGTTCGTTCCATGATGAGTCGAGCTTCGTTACCTATCTCATATGGGGGTATGCCTTAGAGACTGTCGTCCATATCCTTAATCTAGTCCCTACCAAAAAGGTTTCCAAAACACCTCATGAGACATGGACTGGACATTACAGCACATCAAGGTTTGGGGTTGTATGGCTTTCGTGAGAAGTGAGACTCACGACAAGCTCGAACCTTGGAGTGAGCGATGCATTTTCATCGGCTACCCATATAATTCCTTTGGATATCTCTTCTATAGGCCAGGTGACAATGTTGTCTTCGTTTTAAGGAGAGGAGTCTTTCGTGAGACAGAACTCATATGCCAAGGAGACAGTGGGAGGCAAATTGACCTTGAAGAGCTTCAAGAGTCAAACATACTTCAGAAACCTTTGAAAAGTTCAAATATTTTAAGCATGAAGTGGAGAATCAATTGGGCAGGAAGATAAAGATGTTGTGATCCAATTGAGGAGGAGAGTATCTTAGTATCGAGTTCCTTGACTATCTTAAGGAATGTGGAATTGTTTCACAATTGATGCCACGTAGGACACCATATCTTAATAGTGTGGTTGAGAGGTGCAAGAGAACCTTGCTAGACATGGTTCGTTCCATGATGAGTCGAGCTTCGTTACCTATCTCATTCTGGGGGTATGCCTTAGAGACTATCGCCCATATCCTGAAGCTAGTCCCTACCAAAAAGGTTTAAAAAACACCTCACGAGATATGGACTGGGAAGGTTCCCACATTAGACCACATCAAACTTTGGGGTTGCGTGGCTCCGTGAGACGCGAGACTCACAACAAGCTTGATCCTCGAAGTGAGCGATGCATTTTCATCGGCTACCCACAAAATTCCTTTGGATATCTCTTCTATAGGCCGAGTGATAATGTTGTCTTCATCGCGAGGAGATGAGTCTTTCGTGAGAGAGAACTCATATGCCAAGGGGACAGTGAGAGGCAAATTGACGTTGAAGAACTTCAAGAGTCAAGCGATGAAGGAACCTCAAACACTAGCAATCAACATGAGGAGGAAACTCCGGTTGAACCAATTGACAAGTCTGTACCTCCGAGGTGTTCCAGTAGAGTTAGAGTTCCACCTGAG